TAAACTCGAACTCTTATCTTGAATCGAGCTCTTCTGAACTTGCTTCTTCCTATGACTCAAACCATTCACTTCTCATATCTTAAACCTTTAGCTCTTCCCACATCTTAAACTTTCAGCTCTTCCTACATCTCAAACTTTCAGCTCTTCCACATCTTGAACCTTTAGCTCTTTCCATATCTTGAATTTTCAACTCTTTACACGTTTCGAACCTTCAGCTTTGATATCACTTGTTGGGGAACACCACAACTCTGATACCATTTATTGGGCTAAAAGCCTCTAATCCAATCGCACCAACGGAAGCGAAATCAAACAATAAATCAAACACATAAGAGACAACAATTTAACGTGGTTCAATCCAACTGACCTACATCCACGGATGAGAAACAAGATCCACTAGTTGTAAAGAATTACAAACTTACATCAAATCATCAACCTCACTCAACAATCAATACTCATAAGACACTCTAAATCTCTTCTAGTCCTATGAAGTATTCTCAACCCAAACAAATACAAACCCAAACCCTTGTGCACTCTTTCAACATAACCAAATACATACCCATATGCTCCCATACATCATACCTATGTGGACCCTCTCAATTTCCTCTAGTCCACTCACAAACAAACATACACACCCATAAGACATAGAACTCCAATACTCCTATGAGGTGTCTATCCTACAAAATCCTACAACTCTCTTACATATTTTTCTCATACCTAACCCTGTAAAGACTTCACCTATTTATAACCATACAAACTTGCCCATTAAGAATCCCTCTCCTCTTAGAATTCTTCTTCTGTAAGTCAAACTTACTTATTAAGAATCCCTTTCCTTTTAGAATTCTTCTCTTGCAAGTCAAACTTACCTATTAAGAATCTTCTTTCTCTTGGAATTCTTTTTTTGTAAGTCTTCTTGTCCATCAAGCAATATCTGACAAATCTCAAATAAATCTCTAACAAATCTCAAACAAATCTCTTATGAGATTTGAGTCAATATTCTCAACATGATAATCCATTTCAGCATGACCATATTACAAGGGGCTCTAGCCAAGATATTCATGATTCATATCCACAATGAACCAAGATTTGTAAATTGCCATTATCTTTATTGTAAATTCATATCACAAATGGGCATGAATGAATGATTTTGTAAAAGGGTTCGACTCTAATCCATTACTTTTTAAACTTACACCATCCAATACATCTAAAACAGTCATTAGATTGGCATATCAGTTTGCGAGACTTTTATTATGCTTCTCTTAATTTCTTCTGTTTCCATCTTCAAATCCGTGGTAATGATCTTTCTTTTTTGTAGGATGGTGCGAAAATGCGATAACGCTACATTTTATCCACGCACCAACCACTTCTAGTGGCATATCTTGAAGTTCCAACTTTCAAAACCCGTATAGTTGGACATCTATGCCTCAGTGGGACAAGACTTTAACCTCAACTTCGAACTTTTATGCTTTGTAACAAATTTAGGATGGATCCAAGCATTTGGGTCATGCTGTCTTTTCTTAAGAAGTTGGGTTTAAATCTTTCACCGTTAAAATAAAATTAATAGCACATATGATCTTTAAATTTTAAATCAGATTTTATATTGATATTTAAGTTTTAAAAAATTTTAATTAAGTTTTTGATTGTTCAAACGTGTATTAATATAATTTTTTTATTTGTAAGATCATTTAAATTGATAATAAATCTTATGGGACATGACATGTAATTTTTCAAATTTATATTACATAAAATGTTTCAAAGGTTTGAACAAATTACTAAGAGGTAAACCAAAATTTATTTTTTTCTCCTCTCTTTTCTTCTCCCCACTTCTCCTTTTCATCACCAAACTTTCACATCTCAATCAAATTCTCTCCAAGCTCAAGTTTCTTTATCAAAGGCTAAAACTTTCATGTCCAAATCTTTATCAAAGGCCATAAGTTTCTTCTCCCCACTCTTTTCATTCTCTAAACAGTGCTTACTTTTTTGTGTCTAAAGTAACGAATTTCAAGAATGCAATCAAAGGTCAAAACTTTCATATCCAAATCCTTGGATTCCAACAAAGTTAATGTTTTGGAAAATTTTTCATTATTGACAATTTCATTCA